ATAATTATTCACACTCCTCTTGCCATGCTGGTGTGGTGGTCCCCAGGTTGCCGACGAAGATGATGGGTCTTGACGATAGCCTTGAGAGTTGTGATAAACTAACCAAGCAGGGTCAGTACAAAGAACTTGTTGTGTATAAACAATCAACGTTCTTATAAACGAAGAGATACTCACCCCTCATCTCTGCATACAGAAAGAAGGTACTACGTGTATAAGCTTCGAGACATGCAAGACAAAACATGTCTATATAACCATCCGCTGTGTTGCCACATCTACATAGAGCATTCTTAGTTCCAAGAACTATATGAATTCTTGTAGACAGACGACAAATTTGGGAATTTTATACTTGGAATCAGTCTAAAAATTTTTACACATTTTATAAAGTCTGTAAATTACAATATCTGATTCTATATTCTTTCTAGAAAAAAGCAGCGTTTATTTGGTTCGTTTATCACAAAAATTGTAGAAATCACACCAATTTTAGGAAATGATTACAGTTTTTATTGCTTTAAAATTGCAGGTATTTAAATCAAATCCGTCCCGCTGCCATTACCACAATTGAAAGGGCCGTCACTTAAAGGTTAAAATAGGGGGCAACTTTTCTATCACTAAATTCAGCACAAGCAGAAAGTAGTATTCATTTCATCATATAATGTATTGACAAGTGTTCAAGTATCATGCAAAGAAGCATAATTCAGTATGTATACTACATTCAACTGTATACTTCTGCAGTACAGGAAACTGACAGAATGGGTTGTATTCACTGATGCAAATCAGCATGTATCACATTTTATCCATACTATTCAAATTAATGTACAGAGAGGATGTTTTCCAGATGTAACTTTTCATTCAAGTCTATTAGAGTTGATGAAAAGAGAACAACACAGTCAACAAATGATGTTTCCTTATATATCCAGAATGTTTGTATTCAAAATGTCTCTCATAAGTCATGAAACACCATGAAGAATAGATACAATTAATACACAAACTGCACAAACAAGTTCAAACATGCCAGATTTAAGGTTATCACTATGACCTTTACTGTCTTCTATGTGTAAATTGCTTTGCTTAGTTCTTACTTGACTTACTTCTCAGCGGTTGGGTCATGAAGCTGACCACTCAGCTCCAGTTAGTGCTACAGTCAAACAAATTTGAATCTATACATCCATTCCCCCATATGCCTCCATGGCATAGTGCTTAATTAGTTAAGCAAAGGGACAACTTTACTTGTTTTGTAACCTTGAACATGAAGGAAACATATTCCTCCAAAACATCAATCAGCTTCCATTAGACAACAAAACATCTCATGTCAGAAAAGACTACTTGTCAGGTTTCAACATTTACTAGTCCTGATACTATCACAGTGGTGATTATGAATAGTCTCCTTAAATTTGATGCTATGTATGTCTATAGATGGGTTTCAGTGTTTGGGGGGAATCTACTGCCCACATCTTTACAGTAAGACAATTCTTATATTTCAACACAAATGCACCAACATATACTCATGAAATGTAAATGTAAGAACAATGTTATAACAATATAAAATATGGAATTCATACCATGTGCTTCCGATAATGGTTCTTCACATGTGCAACTGCTGCAAACTTCCTTTTACATAATTCACAACCGAATGGCTTTTCACCAGTGTGTGTTCTATGGTGGATCTTCAAATTACCACGCGTGTTGAACCTCTTGCTACATAGTTCACATTTATAAGGCCTCTCACCAGTATGAATGCGAATATGAACCTTCAGATTTCTACTCTGTGAAAACTGTCTCTTGCATATCTTACACTCATATGGCTTTTCTCCAGTGTGAACCCGATAATGTCTATTAAAATTCAAACTATATGAAAATTCTTTACTACATACATCACACTTGTAAGGTTTCTCTCCAGTATGTATACGATAATGTAATTTCAGCTTCAGAGAATCCGAAAACAACTTTTCACAAACATCACACCTGAATGGTTTCTCCCGCGAGTGTGTAGCATAATGTCGCTTCAAGTTCTGACTCTGGGAGAAAAACATATTACAAATACTACATCTGTAGGGTTTTTCACCTGTGTGAGTACGATAATGTCTTTTTAGATTTTGATTTTGAAGAAATGCCATGTCACACACATCACATTTAAATTGCTTTGCCTCTGTGTTGCAGTTTGTCTCTTTTCCATCTCTAGAACGAATCTCTTCAGCTTGGATCCCTGACTGGTTGTCACCACTACAAAGGAAATTAGAATCTGAATCTATATGTGCAACAACACTGTCATAGAATAAAACTGCAATGTGTATGGTGTGAAGAAAGTTAACCCTTTCACAATCAGCTTTTCAAGTACCTGGCCTTAAACACTCAGGCGAATATGGCTCAATTTATAATCTTCACTTCAAAAATTCACCAAAAACACAACTTTTGTCAAACAAATGAAAAAAAATGCAGTTATTCACTATAAACAGCAGATTTAAACAAAAATACCCTACAAGTGCCAGAACTATAAATAATTTGAAAAAATAAAATAAAATCTGCAAGATACAAATTTAAAATTTACATGAACTGGGCAAAAAAATGCCTTTTTGGTCTTCTTTTCTTGTCACCAAGCCTGTAAGAAAGCCAACATTTTTCTGTAAATTTAAGTTTTATGCAGGAAGAGATCTCTGGTCCAGAACGACATCACATCATACAAAACACTGCATACATACCTTTCACAGTTAGCACCTGTTTAGGGAAGCAGTCTCCATGCAGCCCCTTGTTGCATCTGGTGCACACTGTTCTGGCTCTCTGCTTTCTGCTACAGACAATGCACTGAGACTCTTTTATTTTCAGGGAGTTTCCTGAGTCCTCATTGTCCCTGAGGATCATCTGCTCCAACATTGTCCTTCAGTGCCAACCACTCCTGCCCCAGGTCTCGATTAAGGACACTGTGTAGTTGTAGAGAATGTAGCTATTCAACACCTTCCTGACTATGATGTTAAAAGCTACCTTTTTCTTACGGTGTTGGTGACTGTTAGGCAAATACTGCATCAGACTGGTTTTGTTTTTGGTACCTGCCAGGCTTTCGTTGACACTAATTTCTTGATGAGGGATGTAGTGATGCCTGAATATCCTGTATGCATGGTCCACAAGGGGTTATCTAGCACAGGGACTGTAGTCTCCTTCTCTAGGGCCTGGCAATCCTTTGTTGTTTTGATGAGGTGGAAGAAGCACAGCAAGTGGAAACAGTGATGTACTGCAAACATTTTCCGAAACCATGGGATGGCTTGGGAACAGAGAGTGCATCAATATGATGCTACTGATGATTTTTTAATGATGCCCACATTTAGAATACAGGCCAGGAATCTTTTCATCTCATGCACAGTAATTCTGGTCCAGTTTTTTAGTGTGCTGGGAACACTGCCTGCTTTACTGCTAATCACTTGCTGCGCATATCTGTTGGGTTCTGTCACCATGAGGGTAATGATCAAGTCTCTGAAGAAGAGGTGGAAGCAAGTACTAGGAGGAGAACCAGGAGGAGGCATATGCTTAGGTCCTGACAGTTCTTGGAACTGGAATAAAAGAGGGAGAGGTTGCTTAGGTGACAGAATTTCCTTGTAGTCCTCATCCATGTCATCCTCTTCACCGTTAAACACAGGGTAAGCAGGTGGGGGGAGTGGCATATGGGGCATCATCTTTTTCACTTGTATCATCAGTGTCACTTTCCAGAATAAGGTCACTATCACTGTCAGCTGTATCTAAATATTCCAAAATGTCAGAGTCATCTAACCTAGAGTTGCACCAGCCATCGTCTAGTTAAAACTGTAAAATAACTAACTATATACACTACAAACTCTGAAAAATATGATAAAAATATATAACTTTATTATCAAAACAAAACACCACAACTAAACTATGATACATTCACAGTAAAACAAATAAAACCCCAGACCAAGAAAGCAATGAACCACAAAGTAACCATGTGAGCTCAACATATTTCATGTGTTTCTAATAAAATTATATTTTTTTTTTTGTGAAAATAATTGTAAATGCAGAAAAGGCCTAGACACTGCACATCCAGCCCCATCCAGCAGTCTTATAAACATCTTATTCCATTACAGCTGTCTCCAAGCAATTCTTAATACATAACTTAACGAACAAAATATTTTTTGTATGCAAAGTGATGCCATCTCAGTGCAAAACTGTGAAAGAAACCTTGGAGAATTAGGTACCATCTTGTGCTACAAGCTATGAGCCATTTATGTAACTAGGAGAGCACGAGTTAGACAGAGCCAACAGATTGGCCGCCTGAGTGTTCTGGCCACTACCTGATGCGTTGAGCATATAAGGGTACACAACAACATGCATTTGCCCTCCACCCTGAGCCAGTTCAGCCCAATCCACTGATTTCAATCAAGTCAAGTCTCCCAAGTGGTCTCATCCTTCAAGGTTTTCAAACAAACTCACTCCCCGCCTCCCAGACACTTCATGCATCTTGGTATCACTCTAACAATACCAGATGAAAGACATACACTGTGGAACACCTGTGTCGGTCGCATTTAATTATCCTACAAGTATACACTGCAGGCAGGTAAAACTTCCACTTAAAAAACTGAATACTTATGCATTTCACAGATGGAATAAGTATTTGAAGTTAAAACAAATCTGACTTCACTACACAGTGAAAGGAATATGAAAATACAAGGTGTGGCAATAAAGAAACCGGATTCATGCTCTAACCCTTTATTAAAAAAAAATCAGACAGTCGAAATGTTATCCCCTTCAATGTAGTCCCCTCCCCGATCCCTACACCGCTCCATGCGAATTTTCCACTGTTGGAAGCAGTGCTGCAGGTCATCTTGTGTTATGCTCTTCAAGAGTTGCGTCGCTTTTGCTTTCACTGCATCCACGGACTCGAACCTGGTCCCTTTCAGCGCAGACTTGATTTTTGGGAAGAGAAAAAAGTCGCATGGTGCTAGGTCCGGAGAATACGGTGGATGTTCCATCACTGGAATGTTGTTTTTTGCCAAATACCTCTTCACAGATAGCGCGTTGTGTGCTGGCGCGTTGTCGTGATGAAGAACCCATGAGGCATTCTTCCACATGTCTGGTCTCCTTCGTCGCACACGTTCACGGAGGTACGTCAAAACATTTTTATAATAAACCTGATTGACAGTCTGACCTTCAGGCACCCAATCAATGTAGATTACCCCCCGGATATCGAAAAAAACAATCATCATTGCTTTGAATTTGGACTTGCTCATGCGCGCTTTCTTCTTCCTAGGGGATTTGGGGCTCTTCCAATGCATGGATTGTCGCTTAGTCTCTGGATCATATTGAAGAATCCAAGTTTCGTCACACGTAATTACGTTTTGGAAGAAATCAGGATCATTTTCAATGTTTTCAAGAGTGTCAACACAGCAATTCACTCGATGTTCCTTTTGCTGGGGGGTAAGGATTTTTGGCACCACTTTAGCACACACCTTTTTCATGCCCAGATCGTCGTGCAAAATCTGTCTAACACTTTCCTTATTGATGTTCGTAAGTTCAGAAATTGCTCGAATGCTCAGTCGACGATCTCTTCGAACAATTCTAGCGACCTTCTCCACATTCTCTGGAGTTTTCGCAGTGGGAGGACGGCCCGATTTTGGATCGTTCCCGACGTTTTTCCTACCCTCCATAAACTTCTTAAACCACTCGAAAACTTGCGTGCGAGATAGACACTGATCACCATATACTTCTGTCAACAAATTGTAAGTTTCAGTGGCAGATTTTCCAAGTTTTGTGAGGAATTTGATGTTAGCACGTTGTTCTGCATTAGCACTCAGCATTATTCCGACGGAGCTCAGAAACACGATCCGCTTCTAACAATGGTCGCGGCCAGACTAACCGATGCACGTGAATGAAACTTTGTGTGACGGTAGAGGGAAGTCCAAGGGTCAATGCCCTACCCTCCTCTTCGTCAATGACGTGGCCGGAAATGAGTCATAAAAGTAATCCGGTTTCTTTATTGCCACACCTTGTACAATCTTCTGTTTTTAAATTTAAATTTTCTCTTCTAATTGAACTAACACAACTACTGGCAAAAGGGTAGATTATTGTACAGATCTCCATAGGCTATGGTAAACTAAGCTAATATAACCCAAACATTAACAAACTCAGCCACATGAAACCAATGAGTCAGCATGGGATCCAAAACTGCCCAGTACACTGCGCCATAAGCAACCTGTACTATGATGTGCATGTCCTGAATTACAGACCTACAAAATTAGATGAAATAAATTTAGAGACAACATGTACCTAACCAAATTTTAATTCTGATCCAGGAAATTTATAAATTTTTTTTTATATTGTTAGTGAGGTGGACTAAGTCCTTGCACTGCGGCCACTTCTGGCCTACTGTACCAGCCCCAGATGATAGGTGAGGGTGATTGTGGAGCAACTGGTGGAATGACGACTGGCAGGAGAAACCGAAGTACTAAGAGAAAACCTGCCCCAGCGCCACTTTGCCCACCACAAATCCCACTTAACCAAACTCAGGATCGAATCCGGGCCGCCACAGTGGGAAGCCAGCGACTAACCACTTGAGCTATGGCGCAGTCCAAACATTAGTTCAACCCATTAAGGAAAAATGCTTTCTGGAAGCCTTTTCATTAATTACAGTATCTTCTTGGAACCTGTTCCAGCTTCATTCACCATAGCAAGATTTTAACCTAAAATACATTAAGACAATGTGAATTGAACAAATTATACTGACCTGTTTACAGGTACATGACCTTTCATTACTACGTCCTCCTTAATTTCTTCACTGTCTGTTGTAGAATCTGATGACTCATCCTGTTAATAAGGAAGAAACCATTCCTGACAAATAGATGCAACTAAACAAAATATTTTCCTGTGTCTTCTCAGTATAAGAAAACTGCTGTACTCTCAATTATACGAAATCACAATAATAATGAAAGCAATAATACACATCATACATTGATCTTGGGGCACACGGTAGCATAGTTGGTCGAGGGGCTATGCTACAAGCCGGAAGGTTGCGGGTTCAAGTCCTGATGAGGTCACTGAACTTTTTTCAACTGACCTAATCCTTCCAGCTGCACTATGGCTCTGGGGTCAACTCAGCCTCCAACAGAAAAGAGTACCAGGAATTAATTTAATAATTTTCCTGGGGGGTAAAGCGTGGCCAGCGCATAAGGCTGACAACCTTACCGCCTTCTCTGAGCCTACTGTCTACATAATTTGGGACCCTCAACGTCTCAAATCCCTATGGGCCTTCACGGCCTGTTACAGGGATAGCTTTACTTTACACTTTACTTTTTCACATTAATCTTACTTGTGATTATTTAATTACATAAATATTAAAGACCAGCCATTCTTAAGTAAGAATTTACCATGACTGGTGCTTATATATAAGCAGGTGACCCAGTTAATTTCAAAATTCACCACTTTGTTGTTTGCCATGTCTGTCCTGCCAACTTTTGTAATTAATCCGTAACATAAAGTTCTGGAAAGACCAAATCCCCTACTTTCCTTTCACTTCATACCGAGTCCATGGCATAAGGCTGACAACCACTCTGCAGTCTGTGATTCGACTGTCTAGAAAATGTGGGAGCCTTGACATCTCACAATCCTACAAGCCTCCACAGCTTCTTATGAGGGTAACTTTACCTTTCACCTTTTACATATTGAGTATCTGATATGACACAGACTGCACAGAAAAAATCACATTTAACAATTCTTCTACTGCTGCATGTATATTCATTGCAATGGGAAGATGTTTATGAAGCCACTGCCTAGCCAACGCCTGGAAGCATGTGTACCATGCAATTGCTTAGCAATTTTAGCAGGACATCCCAAAGGGACAAAACATCTTGGAAGTCCTAAGTGTGCCTGTAAGCTGGAGTGAACTGGCTCTAAATAGGGCCCATTAGAAGTCTCTTCTAAACACTGTTAATGAACCTCTGGGATGTGAAAAAAGGCATCATATGAAATGATATCAAGAGTTCTGTCTCCTGGCATAAACTCACCTCCATTAATCTGTTAACTGGTTCCATGAAACATCAATTAGTGGTTTGATGGTTAACATATGAAGTTTCAACATTTTCTTCACCTTTCACTATACAGCCCATAACTTCACTAATTCTATTCGTAAAGTTGCAAAATGTGATGATAAACAGCAAACACTGATAAAACTGGACTATCACACTACCAGAATGGCTGGCCAATCTGTCTCAGCTTGTAAATATCACCAATGCATACACACACTTTTGATCATCGATGAAAATCATTTGGGTATTTGGACATATTGTGGGAGTGAGACTGAATCATTGATCAGCGGAATGTTCATAAGGAGGGGATCACTGTGTAGCTATTTGTCAGACTAGATAACATTATATCCCAGAAGCAGTAGTGTAGTTGGTTGAGGCCAGAACGTCGTGGGATAGAATCCCAATGAGGTCACTGGATTTTTTCAATTTACCTAATCCTTCCAGCTGCACTATGGCCCTGGGATCGACTCAGCCTTTAACAGAACGAGTATCAGGAATATTCTTGGGAGTAAAGGGCCGCTGGCACATAGGGCTGACAACCTTACCCCCATCTATGAGCTGATTGCCTAGAAAATGTGGGAAACTCAACTTCTCACAACCCTATGGGCCTCAAAGGCCTGTTACAGGGATACCTTTACTTTATCCCAGAAGACAGAGCTCTTCATAACTAGTGCTTCAAAACCTCAAATCCTAAAAAGGATCTACTTCTGAAGAAACACTCTACTCAAAAGAATTTGTCATCTGCGGACATAGTTACACTGCAGTAAGATGATAATGTCCCTCTAAAGGTGTCTCCACTTTGTTGTGATGGTGGGGCATGCGTGACTCTGTGATCTGGAGAGCTATGCCAGCGGTAGTTTAACTACCGGTAGGGTCGCCCATGCTGGAAAGGTCAAAGGTTAGAGTCCAGACTAAGAGAGATACCCTAGTCCTCCAAGTTTGGGGTTAGGCATGGGGCTAACAACCTCATCCTGTAAAAAGAATTTTGTTCAAAAACCTAACAACAGCCTCAGGTCATCATGCGTGGACCCATTCCTATGGCAGCACGCACTGGTTGTGGAGAGTGGTTGTAGAGGAGACCAAGGCTCACCCAGGGCTGTAGTGCCGAGTGGTAGGTAGGTCAGTAGGTAAGATGATAATGTTACTCACATAAGCTTCAACCTTTCCTACAGTCACTTTTACTGAAGGCACTGAATGGGACTCAGAATATGCTTCATACTCCATTTTATACATGTTGGCCTGCAAAATAATATTAACTAGTCTTTATCAAACACATCCACTGCAATTTCCTTACCCCTAAATAAGGAATCATTACAGGAAAACCACAAGTAATCCGATTACAAATCCTTATGTCATCAGCACTCACCACTTCTGTCACAGCAACAAATGCGAACGGCGCAGGAGGCTTTTCCTGCTTCAAGTCGGTCTCCCGTGCTTCAGTGGATGAAGTCTCCGGCTGAGATTCACTATCAGAATCCAGTTCCACTTTGACTAAATCCATACTGCGCTTTAAAGTAGTGTTACTCATACTGGTTAATATACATCTCAATATCTGGATCCAGTCCACTTCTATTGGCATTCATGCTGTTCTGTTAAACAATGTTACTCCCATCTGTTAAGAGAACATTAGGTCCACTTTGTTTACATCCATAACATGCTGTAAAACAATGTTACCATTAGCTACTGGAACATTTCTTCACTGTCTCAACTATGTTCCACTTTGCCTACATAAATGTCCTGTGTTAATGTGAAACAATTTTTTTGACATAACTAATGAATCAGTAACTATAAGCACACATCACACTGGATGATTTCATTACAATATACCTACAACACATTCAAGAACAAGTGACATTAACCACCAGGTGTGCTTGTAAGACTGCTGTGTGAGAGAACAAGCAGAAATATTATGAAATAAGATGGAATTCTTCATTCCATTCTTCCATTCCATTCCATTATTCTTCATAAGTAGGTAGGATTATTACGTATTATAAACACACACAACAAAGCTTCTTGATATTAGGGATGCAGAGACTCAAATTATAAGAGTACACCAGTCTAGTTCAATCAAATCAAAATATGCAGCAATTCCTAATGACATCTGTTACCTTCAATTATCATTTGTCACAAAGGTTCTAATAATAATTATGAGTAACTTAATGGTAAGGCCATGCAACAGTAGGCGGTTATTGGCTGGCTTCGCTTGGTGGTGGCTTTGATTTCAGGTCAAGTCATGTGGGATTTGTGATGGACGTGGTACTGGTGCAGGTTTCCTCCGAGCACTTTGTTTTCCCCTGCCAGTTCAAATTCCACCAAAATCTCCATACTCATCTAAAATCTGGGGCTAATATAACAGGCCAACTCGCGGCTGATGCACTAAATATGCTCAGTCTAACCCCATCCCAGGAAAGGGGGGGGGGGAGAAACTAAACTTACAGCATTGGAGACTCACTATAAAAATGTTTTCCCTTTATGGTAACTGGCTCAAAGCATGTTATGGGTCAAACTATATACTGCACTATGCACTTCACTTTGTCCATTGGCATTCATCGCCATTACACGCTCCACAGACTCGAGTCACGAAAATCAAAACCTCATTATCACTTTGCCATACTGGAAGTGAATGCCACTGCACATAAATATTACTAGTACACCTACCTGTAAGCTAAACTAAAACCACCTCAACTAACCTCATATAAAACGGTTTTAGAAACAATGTTAACTATTAGTATCACCGATTTCATTTCCCGAATATACAGACGACATAGACCATCGGGCCAAATTAAAGAGCATATAACTTCATCTGGTTGCTGAAAAATCGTTTTGCAAAGCTATAACTTCAACTTAATTTTCGTTCATAAGGTAACATTACTGCATACACCGTTTAATTACAAACGCAACTGCAAGCTGTGCAGGTATACGATCCAAGATGCACTAGTACGAAGCAGCTTATTTACGAAATCACTTATGTACGCGCGCCTACCGCTACAACGGCTATAACCCTACTGCACAGGGGGAGCCAGAGCGGGCCACAGTGCCAGTTCCTGTCGTCTTAGTTCCGTCATCATTTAGCAATTTCTAGGGTTACTTGTGTTAACAGATATTGACAATATTCTGACTTCCTGCATTCGTACGCCGGTGGGAAATTCAAACGTTTGGGGTTAATACTTTTCTCAATATATGGCGGGGAGACAGTTGTAATTATAATAAGACGTTTATAAGAATGTGCTAGAGGGCATGATGGGCATTGCCTAGGGCTTTTTTGTATTTACAATTATTTTTCACAATAAAAACGTAAATGCAGTGTGTGCAGCATGAAATTATATTAATACTGTCACGTGATACAGCGTAACTATGTATGGGGTTTGGATTGGTAGTCGGATTTCTTGTACACTAACGTAACTACAAAAAAAAACTATTATCTGTCCTGCTTATAACATCTTGACATGGACAGCACAGAAAACACCCTGCGCTTCTTTTGCTATTGTTGTCTCATAACAGGTCTACACGCCACAATATATTCCATTGCTTTTATTGGGAATAATCTTATTGTTATTTTGCTTAGAAATAATACATAATAAGATTACCTTCATTTTGTAATAATTCTTACCTTCATTTTGGGGGGGGACAATGGTACACCAACTTCTCCAGACCCACTACTTTTCCCTGAGAAATTCTACAAATTGAATTTAAAAGAATGCCATCTTCTGGGATGTAGCTACCACCTCTCATGCTGGTTCCTCACTTGCGGATGTTTTTGCCCTGAAGATGGAGGAGATACATTCCTCAGCACACACAACACCTACACATCACCACATCACAGATGACAGCATTCTTCAGTCACTGCTGTGAAAACCTCAGATCCTACAAATTGAATTTGTTTACACCCACCTGAACAGCTCCCATGGGCAATTTCTATCATGGCTCCCTAACATGCAGATTTTAAAACACTTGCCAAATTTTCAAGGAACTTGGCACGAGCAATATACCACACAAAGCCATCACTTTTAATTTATTACAAACAGTAATAAAAGCACAATGGACGTGCGAACTCGTAAAGAGGAGCACAGCTGCAACAATGAACTCCGAGCAACAGATCACTGAGGATCCACCTGTCCACCTCCCTCCTCACTGTAGCAAGAACTTTGTGAGACAGAGTAATGTCATGTTAACTTAGGTTTGCAAAACGCACGCTTAACATATATTTAACACTAAAACTTAATTTTATAAATTGCAAGTTGAAGCATTATCCTCATATTCTCAGAATGATTACATAAGTGGCATCTGAATGCTCTCAGTGTACAGAACCTTCAACTTATGATGGTGTGAGCATGCTTTGGAGGCAGTAGCCGAGGCAGTTTTATCAGGGAATCTGATGGACTTATGGTGGCAAGACAGCGTCATGTAATGAGAACCCCATACTTATAACTTTTTTATCATCATGCACTAAATATAATTTTTTTATTTATTTAGTGGTTTCTCTTTTGGTTCTCACCTATCCCTACAAACTTCAGTTAAATACCACAAAAACATGCCTCATCATTACAAAAATGAAATAATAAACAATGTAAAAAATGCTGAATTATTTATACCATTCATGCACCATTAAAACACACAAAATAACAATATTCACTCCAATAATTATAATTTTCTTAATAAACCTCAATGACTTATAAGATTTCCATTAGTACAGCATATTTATGGTGGCTAATAAGCATCTTATTGCATAGACCTTTTAAAATCATACAGATCACGAGATCTTTTATGAATGTTGGATGCAAAAAATACTGGAATTTAAGAGTCATGGCAATGACTTTGAAAATGTCCTTATACTGAGAAATATATACACATTTATAGTACATACAAACATAGTGCTTGTAGCAAGACCTACTGCAAATGTATTATGATGAATATCACTGGTGTTATTCAACACTACAAATCATTCTCAGTAACAAAATTTCAAGCACTGAATCTACATAACTTTAGTTAAATATACAGAACAGCAAACTGAAATGTTAACATATACCTTGTTATGCAGAACTCTGGCTTAGAGCTTGTGATCATGAGACAGTAGGGTCAATGCTGATTCACAGACATCTGAAACCCGTTCTGTAACTGCTAAACTGTTTTGCATTATAATATTTCTTCTTCATTCTACAGTCAATGTTGAGCCCACTTGATAAATAACACAGGCTTTTCTAAATTTCATGCATGCAGAAATTCATACAAAATGGAAAAATATGCTAAGTATTTTGTAATCAAAAACTTGTCAAGTATTCATACACTCAGGGGGACTCAATTCCATATGATTCGAAAGTGCATGTAATCCAGGCCTATGCACATTTTAAAACAGAAATTAGGATTACTATTGCATGTAATACTATATGACTACATAACCTTAAATTTGGCATGACCTTGAAGTAATCACATCACACTCACTTCAAGGCTTTACTGTGTAGAACAGTCACATGTGCAAATGTTTGTCACCTTATGTATCCATTTCATCAACTGGCCGCACCATACCTCAAGCTGTTAGTCACTGGCTTCCCACCGTGGTGGCCTGGGTTCAATCCTGGGGTCTGGTCAAGTGGGATTCGTGGTGGTCAAGTGAGAGTGGGGCAGGTTTTCTCAGAGTATTTTGGTTTCCCCTGCCAATCTTCATTCCAACAATTGCTCCACAACCACCCTCACCTACTATCTGGGGCTGGTACAACAGGCCAGAAGTGGCCACAGTACAAGGGACTTAGTCCCACCCCACTAGCAATAATAATAATAATAATATAAAAAAACATTTCATCATATGGTGATAACTTCTACTGATCTAAAGATGAATATTAGTTTGTCATGATTACAATCAATACACAACCTACCCAACTCCCCAGAACTTTCACTACATCTCCACAATATTTATGACCCACAAACATTCTGATTTCCTTAACATAACAGATCAACATATGTCCCCTTCAATCTACTGGTCCAAGGCCTTATGGGTGCGTGAATGTCTTATAAAATTTGCATGTTGCGAAAACCTGTGATTACAAATTTCACATTTATAAGGTTTCTCTCCCGTATGGATACGACCATGGTCACGAAGCATTCCTACCTGAGCAAACCTCTTTCCACATACGGTACATTCATACGGTTTCTCACCCGTATGAGTGCGTGAATGGCATACAAGTTGCGCTCTCTGAGCAAACTGTTTGCCACATACCTCACATTTGTACGGTTTCTCTTTACTGTGGATACGTGTATGAGTTTTAAGAGCACAACTAGTTGTAAAGTCTTTCTTACAAACTTCACACTTATAAGGTTTTTCTCCGGTGTGTATTCGCATGTGGAACTTCAATACCCCAGGCAAAGTGAATCTTTTACCACAAACGTCACATTCATAAGGCCGTTCTCCAGTATGTGTGCGATAATGTGATCTCAACTGCGCTTTCTGTGCAAACTGCCGGTTACATACAATACATTCATAAGGTTTCTCGCCAGTATGAGTGCGTGCATGACATGCAAGCTGGCCACTCTGAGCAAATTGCCTGCCACAAACGTCGCACTTATATGGCTTCTCTCCCGTGTGTACACGCACATGTGTCTTCAGACTTCCACTCTGATAAAATTCTTTACCACATACATCACACTTAAAGGGTCTGGGTCCTTTGTGTATACGGGAATGTTCCCTCAGATGGCGAGCATTCTTATATGTATTACCACATACACCACACACATGGATTTTGTTTTGGGAATATTTATCATCATTTTCATTGTTTTTGTCTCCAATATCTTTTCTCGCATCCCCACACTTCATACAAACTGATGATTTGAGTCCTGTCTCACTTGTGATCTTGGTTACACCACCACAAATTCTGCACACATTTTCATTTTGCGTTGAAATACTGCCAGCAGGAATAACCTCTCCATAATTTGAGAAGTGTTGCAGGCTATTAGAAGAAAAATAAATTAAGATATATGTCTAGTACTCCATACCACCTCAATTAGATTAAAAATGGTCAAATTCTGAAAATGCAAACTAATTATGGCTTGAACCACACCCCTTACACATATCATTAAGTGAAATCTTACTGGTCATGCATTTCAGTACTAGCCAAGTTACAGAAAAAAACACCATATCCCATTCAGTATCAATTTTGTGTTCTATATAAGTACATACAAAGAGTAAAACGAATTCAGAAGAAAGAAAGAGCACAAAACAAACTTGTCTTATAAAATAACATCTTTTGATCATATTTCCTTCTCCAGAGGCAAGGTAAAAAAAATCTATAACCATGAAAATCATGAAAGTAGTGTACTTTATACATCAATAAAGGAATTAGTAAAAAAAAATTTAACACACTACTTATTTCATTAATAATTTCCCCTTAATGGCCAACAATGGTAAAGACATTCCAGGAAATTACATGACAGATCATCTGACTGGCATCATCATCAAGACTAACCATAAAAACAATTATGCTTTAAAACTGCACCCTAACAAAATAACAGAGTCCCAAATTAGTGTATATATGTGTAAAGACTAGCAGTGCAGTATAAACTGCAGTGACATCACCAAAACACATCCACTTCAATTAAATGTGTCCAATGCTGAATGGAATAAAACATTTTTAGGATAGTGTGAGTCTGATAATCGCCATCCAATATTCTGGGGGGGGGGAAATCATTCACATATCTTATGACACCATATCAACTGCTTATGTTATGTAGCATTCAGTAAAGTGCTGCAGAATTAATATAATATACAAGTATAGTGTGACATGTTGTGCAACGGAGAACCCCTCCCTACCCAGCAGCAACGTAGCAACTCAGGCCAAAGTGACGTGGCGGATGAGTCAGCACTCCCCTCCCCCCCCCACGGTAACGTAACGCGCAACGCACGGTGACATAAGACGGCGCTAGGTGACAGCGTTGCTAGGCTATATGCAAACACGGTGACACGGCACCGCTTCCTACTGCGACGTGACACGTAACAGGCCCACACAGCCCCTATATAAGAGAACTGCACAGCAGCTACGAGTAGTTGTAATGTGGCCATCGCCGAAGACAGTTCCGAGTTAGTTCCGAGCAAGCCTACGAGCGAGTGTGTTATCAACAGTCCTCAAGTCAGCCGACTACAGTTGGAGTATAGCAGAAGTCGCGGAAAGAAGAAATGGACATGTGTGAGATTGTGTAATTGGGAGCGTGTGATACAGCGATACCTAGCTCCCCTACTGTAAACGTGTAGACTACTGAAGACAGAGTGAACTGATTTGCGCATAGGGTTATAAATCGTGAAACCCCGCAACAGTGCAAACAGATTAATGTGATTAGGGTTATAAAGTGTGAAACCCCGCAACTGTGTGATAAGTAATTGTAGCCGTTACTTGTAGGTTGTTGAATAAACCAATTAACAATCCAAACGGCGTCTTCAGTAGCGAAACACGTTACAACTGGTGTCAGAAGTGGGATTTGGACTTACACAACACGTGACCGACAGGATTCGAACTCAAGACATGTTACACTATTATAAATAATCAGAGATACCAGAAATAATTACAGTGCATATATGAAAACCAGCTGGTGGGACCTGACTACCCTGCCCTGTTTTCAGTTCAATATTTTGCCTAATACACACAATCAAGGGCTCATAATAACATTCCTGGACCAACTTATGCGTTAAACATACACAAACAAACAAAACAAAACTCTATAGACTGTAGTCTGCAAACAAACTATACTGACCAAGCGACCACTGCTTGTCGGTGAAGTTAGTGCCAACTTATGTGGATAGAGGGTGTCGCATGGTCAGCGCAATGGATCCCCACGACCGTTAATCTAGGTTTTCTAGACCAAAGCCGCTGTTCCAGACCCACTACTTCTCAGAAAATCTGGTAGCACTGGGAATGGAACCCAGGACCTCTGAATCTGTAGCCAACAACTCTAACCACTAGACTACAGAGGCCATCATTAAACATACTCTAGAAAGATAAAATCACAGATGCTTCTGGCTTGATTCCAGCAGGAAGAAGTTACTATTCTGAATGAAATGCAAGTGTTTCTTACACGTGTTCATATTTATCACATTGTGATATCTGACACTAAGAAAAAATCTGTGTCCATCAAGGTTGCCAAAGAATTGTATGACATGCTTACACCTGAATTTCTTGCTGAACTTGACTGAACTAGAATATTTACGTGGTTCGCTCTAAGAGCAAAATTTCTACTGATGGTAAAACTCTAGCAATCCTCCATCTTTGCCTATTGGCACGCAATCCAGTAAAACAACTGGACTGCAAGAGACTTAGATGTTCTGAACTACTAAAAACTAGAGTTAAATCAAAAAACTTGAAAAATAGAAGTTAGGTTTGTGGATGTTGCATCACAACAATGTGTTGGTTCATTAATAAAAATGTGCTGGATTACTTTCCCCAGTGGCAGGAAACATACTTTTTTCCATGTAGGTCCAAGATTTAGCAAGTGTCAAGTTTCTTTCATATCCACATTTCCTACAGAGCCTCACAGAAAGGGTCCTAGTCACTAGGGCAGCCCTATATTTACTTTATGGACTATTACTTTTTACTGTATGACTCACCTTACTGTTCTGTGGATACTGGAATGTCGACTGAGGTTACTGCCATGAGAAAATTGTTTATTGCATATTTCACATTTATATGGTTTCACTCCACTGTGAATACGAGAATGATGTTTAAGTTGCCAATTTCCTGCAAATTCTTTACTACAAACATCACATTTATATGGCTTCTCGCCTGAGTGAGTGCGAGAATGTTTCCAAAGGTTGCTGCGTTGCGCAAATCTGGCATTGCACACTTCACACTTGAATGGCTTCTCTCCTGTGTGCACTCGCATATGCGTCTTCAAAAGGCTGCACTGGGTAAATTCCTTCTTACAAACATCACATTTAAATGGACGGTCTCCTGTGTGGACACGCATATGCTCCTTAAGGTAAAGCAATTTTCTGTATCTCTTTCCACACACCTTACATTTATGAGGTTTCTCTTCGTCCTCCACTTTGTCTGCTTGTGTTTTCAGAGTATCACTATGGGATGAAAAGATACATTGGGGTCTTAATATTCCAATGTCTTGTTAGAAGAATGCTACTGTTTTAGTATTCTGACTGAGAAGGCCACCACAGAACCACCTGCCTGACATGCTACAACTGTTTGGGGGCAAATTTAATTACATAGAGGATTCCACAATACTTCCTCACATGACGATCAAAGGACTCTGTGTGTGTGTGTGTGTGTGTGTATGTGTGCACCTGAAAGCCTGTTCTTTATTCTAACACAGGTATGTCACACTTGATTACATTAATTTGTTAGCCAAGTATGACAGTTCTAAGTACCACAAGCCAGTCTAATTGAACCATGTTGTGCAAAGTTTTAAATATCAACCAACAGCAACTGTCCTCTGAAACAGAGAAGCATGCTGGCTGAAAGTGTACGAGAACTTGCTACTGACAACCTCCATTTTTTGGTCCCAATAGATGGGATCCATCGTGTCTTCATTCAAATTTCATATATCATGATAACAATGACTGATCATTTACAATATTTAATCATTTAGTACAGTCATCATTAAGTTATTTATTGTTAGTTCATGCTTCCCTTATAAAATGTTGCATATATATTTCATGTATCTACCACCACATAAAATTTATATACAGTCGACTCTCGATTATCTGGGGGCAGATTAACTAGTTTGCAGCTCAACCGGGGCTACTGAGGCTTTTTTGAGGCTTATATGTTGTTTAATATTCATTCACTTTTGTTTCACATAGTGAGTTGTAACACTATTTTCGCACTAGTGTGAACCGAGCTCTGCATTCTTTGGTCCCGTTATGCTAACACAATGTTCTAAGGTAGGGGTGAAAGAATGCAAGGGTTTGTGGAAAGTTTCAAGGACAGATACACCGCCCCAGTTGGTCTCTTTGTATCGATCTTCAAGTGCGTTAGCAAAATGTCAAGGTGTAAAAGGAAGCGTGTTGTGTTAAGTATTCAACAGAAATTCGTGTGAGGCGGGCTTCGAAATGTTAAGCAGTGATGAAACCGTAAGTTCAGTGGACGTGCACCCAGAAGAGTGGGAACAAAGTGAGAATGAGGAAGAGGTGGACAGTGCTGCTAGTAAGAAATTTTAATGGTGCTGCTCTTAATCATTTGGAATCCTGCTGCAGCCAAAATGGATGGAATATAAAACGCATAGCACCAACCACTTGTTATGATAACATATAAAGGTTGGATTTACTGCAGCTGATCTGGCAAGCTATACGACTCACGGAAAGACATTTCCTCGTATTCCCCCTTTGAGAAGAAGGCAAGACCGCACAGAAGATGTTTGGTTTAAGGAAAAAAGAGCCAAATGAGAGATACGCAGTATTGGTGTGGTGAACGTGAGACAGCGTTGTGTATAGAAGAATGCTTCAATGCGTACCATACTCTGCTCAAATTCTAAACCACCTGCTTCCATTGCCGAGATACCGGGCGCTCATATTATAAGGCAAGGTTATAAAACCATCTTTTAAGATCATTTTAGTGAAAGTTTCATGCTTCAAGGCGTACCATACACTGCTCAAATTCTAAACCAACTGCTTCCATTGCCGAGATACCGGGCGCTCATATTATAAGGTAAGGTTATAAAACCACCTTTTAAGATCATTTTAGTGAAAGTTTCATGCTTCAAGGCGTACCATACACTGCTCAAATTCTAAACCAACTGCTTCCATTGCCGAGATACCGGGCGCTCATATTATAAGGTAAGGTTATAAAACCACCTTTTAAGATCATTTTAGTGAAAGTTTCATGTTCATATCTCACATAATTTAAGAACAATGATGAATAAATCATTTTCGAGCAAAATTTAAATGGTCGGCTGAATATATTACCGCCGGAGAGACACGGCAGCGGAATTTAAATGACAGCGCGAAAGGGTTAAATAGGCCATGAGATGACATAAAAATGAGCTTGAGTAAATTTAAATACAGGTAGGCCTATAGTATTATGAAGGTACAGTATTACAGTACTACTTTTAATAACATTTGTCTTAACCGGGTTTTCGATTAATCGTGATTTCCATGCCCACCATTATCCAGGATAATTGAGAGTTGACTGTACTACACACAGAATGACTATGGCATTAACTTAATTACTCATTCATCAAATTATGAAAGATATGAATTGGATAATGGAACACATATCTCGGATACAATCATTTTGGTGCACACTTGTGTGCCACACTAAACAGCATCCTTATCTTCTTATAGACATAAATACAACTTATGGGAAATAATAATTTTAGTGAGACTCGATGAAGAAATTGTCAGAATATGTACAGTCACCACACTGAAATCTGCAAAGCCATCAAAGGAGACTGGCATGTTAGTTCCATAACACACAACAATAATTGCGAGCATGCTGAAAAGACTTCATTAACAGTGACCATAGATAGACTCTAAAGGGTTCTGACAATGGTGTATAATACTCAGAATTACTGGGCTCTTAGACATTATCCATTGTCTGGTATTCCAGAAACAAGAAAAAACAACATTGCGGAAACTGGATCTGCTGAGGTTACCTCTTTCTAAGGGACCCAACACAGTAGATGTCTTCCACCCCTCACCTGACGATGGAAACAGATCCAGTTTCTGAAATGCTGTTTTCTAGTTTCTAGACGTTATATTTTAGCATCCTGTTGCACTGATTTTCATCCATTATATGTATACAGTGGCCGTCTTGTAGTGCACTCAATTTCACCTGTCACTTCACAACATGTTTCGGCAACATAGTGAAGTGTTTACAACACTCGCAGCTAAGAAGGGAACACACATCACAAGACGCGGTTTACACAGAAAATAAGAAAAACGACCCCGTAGTGAACAAACCACATGCAAGTTTTAATTAAGACAAATAAGATGAATTATCTTAACAAGTTTTAGCGAGTGTAAATTTTATCATAGTTGACAAATACGGACTTTTTAAATACTTTTTAAATGGTGTTGTGAAAACATATGAGGGCAAGCAATGCAACTGATTGACGTTAATTGGGACACCTGATGATGGCACTATGTTGCCGAAACATGTTGTGAAGTGACAGGTGAAATTGAGTGCACTACAAGACAGCCACTGTATACATATAATAGTTTCTAGATTACTGGACGATGGAGGAAGTCCAAAAATCCAGTAGTTCTAAGATGACTACAGAGTTCAAAAGTTTCTCTAGAGATGTTAATGAAATATGGTCTGGTCAATACCCACAAGCAGAGGGATACCTCAGTCAGTAAAGCAACTAGACTATAGACAGGCAAACAAGAAATCAGGTTTTATTCCCAGGAGAAGCAAGCGATTTCTCTTTTCCATAGCATGTAGATTTGACACTGGGGACCAGGTAATGGAAACTGTTTCCCCAGGAGCAGAGGAGCCACACTACAAAGCTAACCATCATTTCCATCTATTGCTGAGGTTAAGAATTTTTGGCATTTCTGTGATGGTATATGAGCATATGCCGGAAATCCAAAATTTTATATGGGAGAGATCAATCTTTTCTCCTGTCCATATTTCTTCAGGCAATTGATCATCGTTCTGGGAATATACAATACCTACATCCTTTGTAGTATTTAGGTATTTTAGAACTCTTTTAATAATACCCAGCGTTCTCTTGTGTACCAAGTGTTAAATTGACTTAGGTAAGTCATAGCAAAGGATATATCTGGGCGCGTGCACACGGCTTGTTTCAGCCCGTAAACTGATTTTCTTAATTAGCAAACTTTATTAGACTCCCCCTTAATGTCATATCCTTCAGGAAGCTCCATATATATAACTTCTTCTAGATCTCCGTTTAAAAATGCAGTACAGACATCAAGTAGAAGATGAAGGAAATGATGTTCCATTAGAGCCAGACGGTTTACAACAATTACAAGGAAACTTGGATCGGATTCTTACTTACTGATTCTTACTTATCATTCGATCTACGGGAAACTGAAAATAACAGGTTATGGGCCCAGGATCGTATCATTGATAAGTGTAAAAAGTACAAAAGTGAAAAGTGTTATTTAAAAGTGATCCTTTGGACTGACACCGCTATCAAGACAAAGAAACACGTTTCATCATGGCCACTTGGAAGCCCTTCGCGAATATTGACAGGTTCAAAGGACGCGAAAATTATAGAGAATGGTGCTTCGATATTCAAAATATTCTAGTGATTGAAACTGTGTGGTCAGCAGTTGAAGGATATCCTGCAGAAGACACAATGCCAGTATCCATCAAGAAACAAAAGGATGAGAAAGTAAGGACATTGGAGCCCCAAGTAAAATCTTATGTCATCCAGACAACTACAGCAAAGGAAGCCTGGGACGCGTTGGAAAGAACATTCAAAGATCAGGGTGTCAATAGTTGGATAAGTATTTTAACTGATTTGTGCTCTCTGAAACTTGAGGACTATAAAAGCATGCAGGAATATGTTAATGCCTTCATGTCAATAAATCTTTGATTAGTCTCAATGGACAAAAAAAAAAAAGATGAGCTATTAGCCGCATTAATGTTAAAGGGTTTAACTAAAGAGTATTATCCCATGCGTATGGCGCTCGAAAACTCCAACGTAACTTTGACTAGTGAGCTCATTAAATCTAAGCTATTGCAAGACACTGAATTTGGTAAAAAAGCAAATTCAGATTCAGCCTTTCTGTCCACAGATAAGTTTACACGTAAACCACCAAAATGTCAAATTTGTGGTAAGCTAGGCCATATAAATAAAAACTGTTGGTTCAAAGATAAGGATAAGGCGAACAATAATAATCATAACAATCAGCATAAGCAAAAATTTAAGAGCAATCAGTCTTCTAAATCAGTTAATAGTACTGATGAAAATAAAGAAGGATCCGATCATAGGTGTAATGAAAATAAATGGAAAAATAAGACCAGCAAAAGATCCATGTATATTGTATCTGCCCATCATGTTAAAGTTAAGGATGATACTTGGGTAATAGACTCTGGTGCTTCACACCATATGACCAGAAATAAGACTATTTTGCAAAATTATAAAACGCATGATTCTAAAGAACATGAAATAACCCTTGCTGATGATAACATGTTAACCAGTGCAGGTTTTGGTGATCTAAAACTTACGAATGACAATTATAGCCATATCTCAGAAGTATTGCATGTACCGGGATTGTCTACAAATTTGTTGTCTGTAAACTAAATTGTAAATAAGGGTACAATTGTGTTATTCACCAAAGACTGTCACAACTTATATGATTCTGATGATTTTGAGGTAAGAGGCAAAGTTCTTGCCAAAGCATATCCCGAAAATGGGATTTATTGTTTAATACCAAAGCTAACATGACCCAATCTGAAAATATAGCAACTAAAGATAAGATTAATGCCAAAGAGAAAAATGACAAATGTGAAAAATCTTGTATTAATACTGTAAAGAATGAACAAGTTGCAAGTACCCAGCAAGTTGATGAACAACTGTTGTGGCATAGGCGTTTGGGCATTTAAATAGAGTTAGCATGCGGTTGCTAAAAAAAGGTTTAGCTAGTGGCATCGATTTTCAAGAACAAGAAGATCAGTCAAAGAAATGTGTTCCATGTCTGGAAGGCAAAATGACAAAGAAGCCTTTCCTACAATCAACGAACAAACGGTCAAAAAGAATACTTGATCTATTACATTTTGATCTGGTTGGGCCATTTGAAGTACCCTCTTATGGGAATGTTAAATATAACAATATCTCCACACTTCCATATGTCTTTATGGCACAGAGCTTAATTAAGTATGGGGGTACAGGGACTATTACCTTTAAAAGTAACGTTCAATAAGTAAGAACCTATGTGCTCACCTGTCCTGACATATGTCATGATCTTCCACTGCTCCATCATTTGATTCTTCATCTTTCACCTCTTCCTTGACTGCTACAAAGCACCAAGGCTGTATCTGCAACAAGCGGACAGATGTATACCTCTTATCAACAGGATTCTGAAGCAGCAGCACAGGGCCTTTGAGAGTGTAAATTCAGCAATTAGTAAAATCTTTGTGCAATGCAACATAACTGGAACATTTAGGAACTGAGGTTCTCACATCTTCTGGGACATAATTCCATGCAGTCCATTGAAAATCAAGAGACGTTTCAGAGGAACATGTCAAGTCCACCTTCAGGGTCAAAGAATATGCCAACAAGGAAAACAGCATGAACCAGATAGCAAGCAGAGCTCTGTTACCTGCTTACAGTTCCAATACAACAGTTGCTGCACACAGTCAACTTCACAATCTTACCCACCTTTGTGTCTTCCTCATTCACACCCCTTGTGGATTCTCCAAGAGGATCTTCCTGATCTGTGCCTCCTGTTGGTTCTTCAAGAGAATTTTCCTTCATTTTACATGGCTCATCAATATCTGCATGAGGATCCGCTTTGGTTTCATTTGTATTATGCTGTGAAACAGTATTACTATTTTCAGCACAAGAAAAAAATATGTTTTTACTATAAGTTCCAAACAATACAATTCCTGTATGAAATGAATAAATTTATGCCTTTTTTTTTACTTTACAACATGTTCAGCCATTTTAAGCCCATCATTAGGAAAACATTTTACATTCACACTCCCAATGCTTACACTTTAGGAGGGTCTTATGTATTATTTACAGCATTAATGCCAGTTATAGTTCATATGCAAAACAGATTATTGCAAATAGGGTTATAAAGTGTAAAACCCCGCAACATTGTTATAATTAATTGTAGCCAATAATTGTAGGTTGTTGAATAAACCAATTAACAATCCAAACGGCGTCTTCAGTAATGAAACACGTCAGAAGTGGGATTTGGACATTCAAACTCAAGATACGTTACAACTGGTGTCAGAAGTGGGATCAAAATTATACACGCGAAGAGAACATGGAATCACAGCAGATGATGGAACTCCTGTGGAAGCAATTGAGGGCCAAGAGAGAAGCTGCCGAGAAAAGGGCTGATGACAGGTGGAAAGCCTGGCGAGGAAAGATGGCCACCATGCGAGAAGAGCTGGTCGCAGAAACGGAAGCCACCTGAACAGAAACAAGAGCTATCCAAGCAAGGACGGAAGCCATGCGAGAAATAATGGGCACCAGCCACATGGAGATGATGTACGCATTTAAACCTGAAAGAGACGTAAAGACGATAGCCTGCCAAGAGATGGAGGCACATTTAGAAGAAGAAAAGCCAGCCCCAGTGGACATCAAACCTGAGGCGAAACAACAAGAAGAGGTCCCTGTAGACGACGTCACAGTGATAGTGGTCAGTGAACCTGAAGATGAATTGATGCCGATTACCCAGAAGGAGATGGTGGCCTGCCCAGTGGACAGGAAACCTGCGGCTGCACAACAAGAAGAGGTCCCCATTGCAAGACCAGTCGGAGAGACGATGGCCTGCCGAGAAATGGAGGCACATCCAGAAGTAGAGCCGGCCTCAGCGAACAGGAAACCTGAGGCGGCAGAACTACGAGAGGTACCCGTACAAGATGCCGAAGTAATGCCGGTTGGAGAACCGAACAAGAAAATGCGCAGGGACCGACATCGACGAAATATAAAGAATTTGACATGGGAAAACTGTGGACCCCGGATGAAGTTGGCTGCCCCCTGCAGGAAGACATCCCGTCGCGCGACAGTGGCATGATGTTGGAGAAATGCCTTCAAGAAGGAAATTCCCCTGGGAAGATTCGGATGCCAGCAGAAAGAAGTGACCACCACCAGAATAAAGATTACACCCTGTGTAGGACACAGGCGTATGGGACAAAACAAGAATAAGGTCGCACCGAAAATCACCAAGAAACGGACGTTCTGGAAGAGAGTGTGCAAAGGCCCGGAACGCAACACTGGCATCAGGAACCGAGGCCTGAGACAGCAACTACAACGCAGAAATGAAGTGAAGGACCTAGGCGGCGGACAGCCGCAATAAGTGAAGAAAGCAGACCTAAGGAAAACTGCAAGACTGCAGATCGCCAAGCGAGTAGCCGGATTTTCTGTCGGCCTACGACACGGCAAGGATTGGACCTTGTGGAGGGGACGACCCCCTCCAAAACGGAAAAAGAGACTTTAAGCAGAGGAGGAACCGGTAATGTAGAAGAACCGGCCTCCCCAGAGAGAGTGAATGTGCCATGGGAGAAAGCGATGGATGAATGGGATACAACTAGATCTTCTGGCGAGCTGAAAGGAAACCGCTCAAGACGAGTTGGTCTTAAGAAGGGAGTGGTTGTAACGGCCGGAGAACAGATGCTGCAAGAACAGCCTCCGAAGCAAAGGAATGGGGATGCACCGTTAGGCTATTCGGGATGAACAGCCTTAAGGAGGGAGCAGTGTGACATGTTGCGCAACGGAGAAAACCCCCCACCAGCAGTGACACAGTGGGTGAGTCAGCACTCCGTCATCCCCCTCCGCATGGTGACGTAACGCGCAACGTGCGGTGACGTAAGACGGCGTGAGGTAACAGTGTTGCTAGGCTATACGCAGACACTGTGACGTGGCACGCAATGACGCTGTTGACGCGGTCAACAGACAACAGCGAACGGAATAAAGGCCGGCTGAGCAGTAAGCGTGAGAGAGTTGAAATGTGGCCATCGCCGAGTTCAGTGTAGTCAAGTTAACTTGTAGCTGTCCCCGGAGAGAGTTAAAGTGTATCAGCGCCGAAGACAGTTCTCCAGTCAGCAGCCTACAGTTGGAGTATAGCAGCGCTTGCGGAAAGAAGAACCGGATGCGTGTGTAGTTGTGTAATTGGGAGTGTGTGATACAGTGATACATAGCTCCCCTACTGTAAACGTGTAGACTACTGAAGACAGAGTGAACTGATTTGCGAATAGGGTTATAAATCGTGAAACCCCGCAACAGTGTAAACAGATTATTGCGATTAGGGTTATAAAGTGTGAAACCCTGCAACTGTGTGATAATTAATTGTAGCCGTTACTTGTAGGTTGTTGAATAAACCAATTAACAATCCAAACGGCGTCTTCAGTACCCAAAACACGTTACAATATATTACTTAAAATTAATTTTAATATAAAATTCATTTAAAATAAATAAAATTGATTTATTATTGTAGTTGTTGTCTCCTGTTGTAGTTTAAAATACCGTTGGTTTTGGGTTACTTATAAGTGGTCTGCTTTCATATCAATGTATCATTTGTATATTAACACATGTATTTATTATTAAAATTTTAGTCATTATGGCTGTTGATTCACAGTGGAACAAGATCTTTTCTTGTGTGATCAAGTGCTATTCTTAATATGTGTGGGTTATTTCTGCATCTATTGGCTTTCTTGTGTAGTAAATGTTATTGTGAATGGTGTTGTGTCTTGGACAAGTGATATATGCAGCTGATCAATCTCTCATGCACTCTAAAAACTTCATTATAAAAAAACACTCTGGAATCAGGGACACGGTGTCTAACTGCAGCTTCCCCCATTTCCAGCTTTGCTACTCTGATATCCAATTACATTCTTTCCCTACCTCACTCTTTTGCGTAGAGATGGAGACTGGGTCTTCTGACAGTTCTTCTTTCACATTTTGCTTCAGACTTTTACCACCTAGAGACACTGCATGTGCTTCAATGTCAGGATCACATTCTACTTTGATTATATCCATGCTGTGCTGTAAAACAGTGTCACTGCCATCAGCTAATAAAATACTGTCTACCTTCTGAATTACTCTCCTCTTCCATACATTTATGTTGCACTTTAAAATGTTAAATTTCATCTGCTCTATGACCCTGAGTGCATCATACCTTATATAGACAACCTTATAGAAGTCGTGTGTGAATAAATCTGAATTTCCCAGTGGCACATGAAGACCAGAAGTATGTTGAAAATAGAATACAGCAACATTCTTCTGATGACATAACATTCCTCATTCACACACCACATGAAGTACATTCATATCCCTACCCATGCTGATTATTTTGAATGGAGTATTACAATGTGCAGAGCAAAGCCATTACCTTCCTCTTTCATGTTTTTATTGGCACATTATGGTGGATCAGAAAATTACATTAATTAAATACATTAGTGAAATCCGAGGTTCTCACAGCGGTGAGCGAAAAGGTTACTGTCTTCTCGATGTGATGCAGTGTAGTCTGGTTGAAATTTACTGACATTTTGAAGGAACATGATCATTCATTCCATCTTTCAGACAGAAGTTTCAAAGAAATTCTACACTGAACATGGAGCAAGCACATTCCTTTGAAACAGTGGTATGGATTCACAAGATTACATGTAATCACATCCAAGAAGACACCATTCTTAAATGTTTTCAGACACAAGTAAGTGTTTTAAACTGACCATTCCCTTATATACAGAAAATACTATAAAGAAGAATTTTACATTATGGTCATCATACATGTAAGATGCATTGGTACACAAAGGCATATTATGTCATCAATGGTCCATTGCACTGTGTTCCTTATCAACATTCCTACATCAGTTTCTTTCCCATTGCAGGACACAGTCTGTCAGCCATTAGCGCATTATAGGCAAGCCTGCAATATTGCATTTTTTTGAGAACTTTAAACAGTATGATTCCACCATATTTGTTGACTTCAGCATGGCTAGGTATCTGTAATACACCAAGGTTAAAACTGGTTGCGTTTCTTTGGTTCAATACAGATATTACTTGTTATCAATGTGTAAGTTTGTTCCTCTGGTTCTTCATTAAGTTACTTTCTAAGGATGCGAGGTGTGATCCATTATATGCTGATGTTGTACAGTGGAAATATTTATCACCGACATTCAATTAGGTGTTTGGAAGAGTACGGAAGTAAGGGCAATTTCTATAAAACCCAGTACAAAAGCAGAGAATTTTAGATGAAAAAGAGAGTCACAGTGCGATTTGACAAAATTCTAGGTATTGCGCCAGCGAGTTCAGCAGTGTTGCAGAAATTCAGCATTCTCTTAATAATTATATTTCGTTTCAAGTAGTGGCACAAAAGTAACTTTAAATGTATTTTGTAAAATCTACACCAAAGAGTTAAAAATTAACCTACAAATCCTCTTACATTACCACAATCACATACACCGTGCAGTATATGCCTACAAGCCTAATTTCCATATGTTACGAATGCCAGTTCTATGCAGTTCGTAGCTTACTTCTTTAACTTCGCTTTAAATTAATGAAATCGATTTCGTAAGCAATTCCTTTCCTTGTTTTCGTAAATATAAACAATCAATCTGAGTTAAGTGAGCAACGATCTGAATCGATAAAGCGTTCAAGTCTGTTAAAAAATCGAGGCTCACTTACGTGAAGTTATAAACAATTATACTATCAATAAAATGCAGTAAATTTAATCAAATTGTCACAGTCAATTACAACACATTTTAGGGTGGTGTGCGTTTTCGATTTTAGGGGCATAAAAGTTCCCATACTTAAAGAATATGGACAAAGTACGGTTAGAAACTGTTTAAAATCCCGTCACGTCCCACGCCATAAAGAACTGCAATACTACTGCCATCTCTACGCAAACGTCCACTAACTAAATAAGAACTGGGCCCCAGCACCGACATGATCCATAAAATAGTATGCTACCATACCACCCTATATGTCCCCCACCCCCCAAAAAAAAAACGCCCATTTCACATGTATAGCTAATAAGTGATTTTGCAACCACATCTCTTGTGCTCAGACGTTCTTAAAATATTGCCTCCTCCTCTTATGTTGTGGCAGTAGCCTGCTGTCTGTTAGAATGTGGGAATGTCCCACATATCAGAAATCTTGTTATGAATTTGTATCTCAAGTCACAGTGATGTGTAACAATTAAATTAATAAAACTACAGTAAAATTAAGAATGTTAAGAGTGATCAAGAGTTATATCACAGATTATTAAAAACAAACTAGAGCATTTAATACCAATTTTACAGTTTACAGAATGAGATGATACCCACAGGTTAGTGGTTTACCCAGTCACATTTAAGGGTAACTTCACAAATAAAATAAAAGAACAATGACACAAATGTAGTCCTTTATACATAGTATACCAATCCTGCAACTCTACCCAGATTCATCGACATGATCTCATGCATAACCATTAAATCTTCATTCTTAATGAGCATAACTGTCAGATTACAACACAAATTCAATGATATTCTGAATAAGAAAATTAAGAGATTATGTATAAAATATATTTCAGAGTGCACCACCATGATGTGGATCATTTGATTATACTTAGAAACCGCAATACTGTTTTCTAAACACAACTGGAACCAAAATCACCATACTGACAATCCCTTTCACTGCCCAGGACTTTCAACCAAAACGGCTGCTTACTCAAAGATGTTGTGAACAGACAATACAATAAAAGGCTAAATTGAACAAAAAAGTAGTAAAGAATTTTCTGTCCTACCAACTAATGTATATTCTGAATTATAATAAATGCTTTAACATTACTAACATGAATTGGAGTGTAACCTACTGAAGAATCTTACATTTTAGCAGACAGTACTCCAATATTAGCGTATTTGTTGTAATTCAGAATAGAAATTGTTCAGGTTCAGTTTATTCATCAGTGACTTCCAAGTATAAACATTTCTGTGTTTATTTCATCACAGAAGATCATAAAGTCTGTACAGAACTATTAGGCTTATTTTGGACTCTATCCATCTTCTGGTATATACAAGACAAAAGACCACAACATTTTGGAGACAGACCAAGTCTCTGAAACGTTGTGGTTTTTTGTCTTATATATACCAGATGATGGATAGAGTCCAAAGAAGCCTAATAGTTCTGTACAGACTTTATGACAAAAGACCACAACATTTTGGAGACAGACCAAGTCTCCGAAACGTTGTGGTTTTTTGTCTTATATATACCAGACGGTGGATAGAGTCCAAAGAAGCCTAACAGTTCTGTACAGACTTTATGATCTTCATCAGAATCCTTTCAAGTCTATCATAAAGTCTGTTTTGTTGGTAGAACAGAATGAGGACATATGACGCTTTTGCCTTAAGTACTGAAAACGACCTGCAGCAACCAGTGAAGGAATAGATGTCATAAAACTAGGAACATACAATTGACGACTAGCAGTTTTAAAAAGTGAAGACCTTGTGTTATTTACAATAAAGCCACTACAACATTATAGTTTGTAATGTTAGGTTTGCGGAAATTATTGAGCACTATTTTTCTGTAAGAGCACTGCTAACACACAAAATCTCTCCCCTTACCTAATTACCAAAGCTTATGCCAACAGTTATCATCATAAGTTAATGTTCATGTGTCCTAAAAATATAATGTTTGGAGCCTTTTGAGGTCTACATAGGGACTCTCAATACATACACAAGTATCAGTTATTAGATATTTCATGTTATCATTCATATGGTTTACATAGCACCTAATGGCACAAGGAAGTCTGTAGTATTATCAGAAAAGTTCTCATGGCATACATGTAGATTTGAACTCATGTTCACACAGAAGGTTTAATCAGTAGCACCATTTAAGTAACAGTGGTAGCACAAAAGTGGGATATAAAGTGTTATGTATAAGAGAGTTATTTTTTATTGATAAGCTGCCAAAAGTTAAAAAATATTTTTATTTCAAATATCACCTATCACTGCACACCAAACCAAGCCTTGGTACTGTCAGTTAGAAACAGCCTGTTATAAGAAGAACACATTTCTGTAAAGCTTACTGACTGATCATGATTAATAATAATATGGGGCCATGTTTTAACAACTGTTCAGAAGTAACAACGTCTATGTGAAGAGATATGGAACTGTTTTTAAAGTACTCATCATACACTTCAGTTAAATTTTTACAAAATTTCACAATCAGAAAATTGACTTACCCCCAAAAAACATCGTGGCCTGTAGTCTGCAAGCGAACTATACCAACCAAGCAACTGCTGCTTGTCGGTGAAGTTAGTGCCAACTTCTGAGGATAGAGGATGTCACATGGTCAGCACAGTGGATCCCCATGGCCGTGTATCTCATACCAGAGTCACTATTTCCTTGAAATAGCTCCTCAATTATCCTCACGAGGCCAAGTGGACCCCATTCCAGACCCACTACTTCTCAGAAAATCTGGTAGCGCCAGAAATCGAACCTGGGGCCTCTGGATCTGTAGCTAGGAACTCTGACCACTAGACCATAGAGGCGGTCAACTGACTTACCCATGAAAAGAAAAAAACATTTCTCTACCAAATTAGGTAGGTCGCACATGAGGGTAACCAATAATATAATTAATTTCTTTTTGCAGTGGCTCATTGTTTCATTTCCATAGCTGCAGATTCAAGCTACATAACATGATACAGCAAATGACATAGAAATTGTTCTTGCCAAAATGTGCCAAATACATATATAATTTGCTGCCAATTCCTCATGCCTGGATTTTAACACTCTGTGGACTGCGCACCCTTTAAAATAATTTTCGCTTTTAAACGTGGAGGACCGGTGGCATATTATTATGACTTTAGGACACTTATGTTGAAACACACTATACCTTGCTCTGGCGACACAAATACTGCGTAATAAATCTTCCGAATGTATGCTAGGTATTCAGAAACTTGACCTGGCTGGCTAGGGTCCCTACTCCAAAAGAAAATAAACTTTGCCCCCTCCAGCCATTTATATACCATGCAGGAAGTTAGTAGAGGGAAATATGTTTCAAGGACAAAAGCAGCTGAAGGCAAGCAATCTCTCTGACTTGTTTTCCAATGAGCTATCCGACATGCCTTGTGGAGTTGTAGTGATTAGTGACTCAGACAGTGGAAATGACAGGGGTCAACAAAGAATTGTGGCCACAGATAATAAACGTGAAAGCTGCCTTGTGGCTTATAAACTGTGCCATTTTCAATTCATTTTTGGTTTACAAAAATTTAAACCCTGATTCTAAATTGAAATACAAAGCATATCTGGTGAATGTGGCAAAGGCTTGGGCGACAGCCAGATGGTGGCGGCAGAACCAGAGTCAGACAGACTTAGTGCGACCTAAGCAGCCTCTGTAGTCTAGAGGTAACGTTTCCACCTCATGACTTGTAGTACGCGGGTTCAAATACTCGGCGGAGTTCATCGAATTTAGGGCGGGAAAATTCAGGGAAAAAGTCCTCCGGGAGGGACTTTAAGCCGTGGGTCCCGTGTCGTAGCTTTACGGCATGTAAAAGAACCTCATATCTCCTAAGGAGGTCACTGAGCCAAATTAC